TTCTGCTTCACTATGAGGAAGGCGAAGAAAGCCGTGAAGGCCAGCTGAGTGGAGATGAGGAGAGACGAGGTGGAGACGGGGAGGAAAGACAGCCCGTAGGCGTAGAGGAAGTCGTCGAGGCCGGTGAGGAGGCCGAGGAAGGCGCAAGCGAGGAAGAGTCGCGGGGTGATGAAGAAGAGCTTGGTGGGGTGGATATGGCTGGGGCGGATTTGGTGGCGGCGGCGGTGGAGGTAGGTGACGAGGAGAGGGAGGAAGATGAGGGGCCATCCGCCGGTCACGAGCCAGCTCGAGAGCCACTGACGCTTCCCGCCGCTGCGGAAGTAGAGGCGGAGGAGAAGCGGGCCGCCAGTGTTGCCGAGCGCCATGAGGACGCAGTTGAGGCCGATGAGGACCCTCCTCAGGCCTTTGCTCATCAGGGGAGCGGCATCCTGGTTCTGGCGATTGGAGTTTTGGCCTTCCACATCCATGGAGTTTGCCATGGGAACTGAGAGTAGCACCAGCCAATGCTCTCTCTCTCTCTCTCTCTCTCTCTCTCTCTCGTTTCTATTTTTAATGAGTAGTTAAAAAAAAAATTTGAGTGAATATTATATACTTGTAAAATGCTTTATGTGTTTGATAACAAATAAAATAAAAATATATATTGATATAAGTATTGTTTGGCAAAATTATATTTTAAAATTTTACCGAATATATTATAATAAATTTTATCCTTTTAATATTTTTAACATTTATTTAAAATAAATAAATATATTTTTTACTTAGATTTAATAATTAAATAATATAAAATAAAATAAATAAATGTACGTAATCTTATAAAAAATTTCTTATGGTTCATATAAATATAATAAATAAAAACATAATCAGATAAATAAATATAAAAGATAAAAACAAATAAATAAATATCACTTTATAAAAAATACAAATAATTTTAGTTTCTCGTTACATTAGTATCTCACAAACAATTAATGCTACGTAACATACAACATACAAGCGGGTTTCCTGACATCACATTCACTTTCGCCTGTGACTTTGGGATTGGAATTTAGACATTAAAAAAAGTTAGAATGTATTTTATGACATCAAATAATATATATAAGAGCTATTACTTATACTATAATATATTAATCAACCCGAATATATCGATAATAAAAAAAAAATAAAACATTAGTAATTTTATACTGATGACATGACAAATAATTGCGGTATGGAAGTCTATCACAAATAGTTCCCTTACAACGGGTAATCCTTTTCTACTCGAATCCTCTCACTCTACCCAAATGCTAGGTCGGCTCTGATACCAAATGTTAAAACCAGAGTCTGATGACTCAGCTAATTGACCAATGATTATATTTTGGTCCTTCAACCACGGATCAAAATATTTAAGCGAAAGTTAAAATAGTATACTCAGGCCTATATAAGTCAATCATACACATTGTCTATTTTTGATGAGGAACTAATGGGATGTTACAGTGATAAACAAATCAACATTCTAATTAATATATATAGCTTTTGACACTTGCCATTGGTATTTGAATTGTGATGGTATGTGTTTTCAAATAATCTTCTCACGCCTATTGCTCCAATGATTACATTCCATTCAATCTTTTTTGGAACTATGTAAATCTTTCACATCTTGTAAGGCTATCATCTATCTATCCCCGTTAATGATGATGAACTTTCATTGGTAGAAAAATAGAACGATGAGGATGATTTTTCTCTCAAATGCTTATTTTTTTTTTCAATCTCTTTTGGAACAATGTAAATCTTTTCGGTTATCATCATCTATCCTCGTTAAATGATGAATTTTTATTGATAGAAAATTAGATTGATGAGAATGATTTTTCTCTCAAATTATCTTTTTTTTTCATTATATAGAAATTATATTTTATCTTCAATGCATCCATATCCAACTTTAATGTTGTAACACCCCTGATTAGTCCCACATCGAAAGTGGACAGGATTAAGATTGACTTATAAGGGTCTGATGAGTGTACTACTATCAACTTCAGCTTAAGCATTTTGGTCAGTGGTTTAGACTAAACGAAGTTGATAGGCCAGTTAGCCCATCAGGCCCGAGTCATTATATTTGGTATCAGAGCCGACCTAGCATTTGGGCATGGTGAGGGGGCTTGAGTAGGAAAGGGCTACCCGTAGACGGAGTCAGAGGACTCGTCACGGCGTGGAGCCACCACTGGGCTAT